ACGACCCATAGCAACAGCTCAGACGAGAGTGATGATAATTAGAGTACAGTATTATTAACTTATTATTAACCAAACGCGAGGTCTGTACAGAGAAATATTGAACCGAGGTCTTTTTTGTACAGTTTTTCGCCCCTCCCCATCCTTTTGGGCGGCCCTGCTTCCATCACCTGTGCTCCGATTTTCTGAATTTCAGCAGTGCTCAATGAGTTCATAGTTGCAACCCTCCCCTTTTCTTCCTAGGGTAGCCTGCGCTGTATTACAAATATACAACTTCAGCTGAAAGTTGCATAATTATGTTTTGTTTTTCTAGAGCTTGCATTTTCACCCAATGATCATACTGTCCACATTTATAAACTGGCAGGAAATAAATGGCAGCCAGATTGTGTCTTGACTGAGGTAAACCTTAAAAAATGCTACACACTTGAATATACCAGTAAACCAACATCACTGTGTCCTCCCCCCCCTTGTGTTATCAACATGATTTAGATGCATGTTGGTAGGAAATCTGCAGGATTGGGCCAAAAAAAAATATGTGGGTTTCCGGTTTCTTCTTATAAAAACTTAGGTAGGGTAGGTTGGTTTTAATTTTTTTTTTGACTTTTTTTTTAATTTTCCGAATAAGCGGACGCCATTTTGTTTAGTCAGTGCTTCCACATCCAAAGATAAATTTCCCTAATATTGCCTCAAATTTCAATTTTCCACAAACTTTTTCCTCTAAGTGGAAACACTTACAAGCATGATCCAATAAAAAAGTTTAGGATAGGGATGCACCGGAACCGGTTTTTTAAGTTCCGGCCGGAACCGGATCCGACCGGAACTGGAAAAAAGTTCCGGCCGGAACCGGAACTAATTTATTAAGCCATATATAGTCGTATGTTACTTTGTCCGCTGCCAGACAAGCAGACACTTCAAATCATCAAGTAGAGAGTTCGCAAATGTCTGAATAAAAAGACTGATAAACGTTAAACGTCATAAAGAAGTGTTAATAGTGTACATTTTCCTTGCGTAGTCCAACTTTCTTCCTACTGTGACCTTTTGTTAGACACAAAAACGTTTGATATTCTATCTCCCTGAAAACAACAGAGTTCCGGTTCCGGCCATGCTTTTTTTACTAGTTCCGGCCGGAACCGGAACTCTAAAAAATCGGGGTTCCGGCCGGAACTAACCGGCCGGAACCGAGTTCCGGTGCACCCCTAGTTTAGGATCGGGATTTCGACGTCCAAAATCTAGGTAGGGTCGGGAAACCGGAAACCGACATATATTTTTTTTTGGCCTTAGTGCTAACCCTTGTTTAAAATTTAACGTGCTGTTTCAGTTTGTGTATTTCTGCACATCTGTTGGTAGAACATTGGACTTGTATCCCAAAGGTTGCAGGTTTGATTCCCACCATGGTAAAGCAAACTTAAAATTCAGCTTGCCCGTTGTGGATAACACTGATGCACACAAAAAGTATCATAAATAAAATTCTGCTAATGCAGACAAGAGTCCTAGAAAAATATTTCCATGTTTAAAAACAAACTGTTAGGAAGATTGCTTTGAGGATTTTGTTAACCAGACGGTCCTATAGGATTAAGCTACAGTACATGCAGTAAGCGACTTTTGAGCACCCGCGGCCCCAGATGAACTTGCCAACGGATCCATTCGGCCAGGATTTGAATTAACAGTGTGCAATTTGCACATTGTTCTGGACCAAATAGTGAAAATTGCACATCACTTTTCCAAACGATGTGCAAAAAGTCATTTAAAAACAAAGCCAATCTGTTGTCTTATAATATATAAACAAGTGCTTTTGCATGCACACACACAACGTGGAAGGTGTCAAATTTTATTCATTATGACAGACAAACACATGACTGATGTGTGTGTTACTGTATGTGTTAGGCGTAAAAAAGATACCTGAGGTTCCGGTTTCATATCGCAAAAAAATTAGGGTTGGTAGGTCGGAAACAATTTTTTTTTGGACTAGTTTTTTCATGTTTTTTTTCAATAACTAGTGTGACAACAGACGCCATTTTGGCAGCAACCCGCAACCACCCGGAGAAAATAGGGTCGCACGGTCAATCGCGTTGACATAATAATAGGGTCGGCAAAAAAAAATAGGGTCGGTCGGGAACCGGAACCACAGATTTTTTTTTACGCCTTAGGTTTGTATATCAAAGGTTGCAAACAATGATTAAAAAGTATTCAAATAATTAAATTATTGCAGCTTGAATGAGTATTGGATGAGTAGCTAAGACAATCATGAACCTATTTATTAAAAAAGTTGCACATAATTTTTTTCTCAACTACCGGTACTGTAATTCAATTGAACCCTGCATTTCTGTAGGCATACTGTATAAACAGGGATGTGAATTCCTGCTCTACCCCCTGCTGACAAGATGCACACTGTTAATTTGCTAATGTTCTTGCCAGAAACCACCCGTTGAAATTATTAATTAGTTACTCTCTCTGGAGGGGCCTGTACCGGGTTCGGAAATCCCGCCATCCCGCCTGATTTTCACTTCAAATCCTGTTAAACCGCCATGCCTCATCCCAATTTCCCGCTCCCAACTTTTTTTCTAACATTGTTCAACATATTATGATTTAAAGAACATGGTAACAACATAAAATACAATTTGAATACACTAGAATACAATACAACAAAGTTTCAAAATAATAAATGACTCTAAATCGCGACTCTTATGAAAGCAGCAATCATACATGTAAGTGGGGGATTGATGGGGGACAAATGTTCGAAAGCGATATTATCCTTGAAAACAGTAAATTTTGAGCACACAAACAAATGACAATAGATCAGCTAACGCACGGCTACAAGTTTTGTTGATTTACCCCGCTTTTTTTAGTTACTTCCCGCATATCGCCATGGTATTTTTATTAATCCCACTTTCCGCGATGGAACAAAATCCCGCTTCCCGCCAATATTTCTCTTAAAATCCCGAATCCCACTTCAATTTTAGACGCATCCCGCAAAACCGGTACAGGCCCCTCTCTCTGTATTTGACCTTTCCATTCACAGCTAGGATTGTTAAATGTGCACTAAACTAGATTTGTCAATAGCACTGGCTTTTGCATTTATATCTTTTGCTTTTGTCACTTTGGCAAAATCTATAAGCTACTGCACGACTCTCTATTTAACCCACACTCTGTTATAAGCTGTGCTTCCACCTATGGTACCAAATATGGCTTGCAGTATGTAGATAAGCCTCCCACCAACTTAAAGGTTTTACACTACTGCAGCACAATCTTTTCGATGCAATTCCATAAATTGGTTAAGAATTTTTCAATGACTTGGATAGGTTTACAGTGGTAATTTCTCTAACATTTCAGCACGGTCAGAATGTAACTGGCATTGATTGGGCAGCAGAAAGTAACCGGATTGTCACTTGTGGAGCTGTAAGTTTAATTTTTACAGTATTGATACAACTTTAATGTGAATAGTACAGATATTGTACGAAGTATAATTGTATACAAAAGTAATGGCTAGTTTTTAAGGAATACTTTTTATTGCTTTTACGCTTCCAGTTGTTGCTGCCACGCTTACTGTATTTGCATAATTACTTCAGAGGTCGAGTATAGCAAAAATAAAAAGACTCTCAGAACAATTGGCCACTCCCAAATATTTTATTATTTTACTCTTTGTAATGCCAGACAGATTTAAATACTCATCAAGGGGAGAGTGCTGGTGCTCAATGGGTTAAAATATGAAAGTACATTATTTAGTACCACAGTAAATCAGTCTCAAGTGGTATGATTTTCATTCTTACCAAATATTTTTTATGCATTTGCATTATCAAAGGATCGAAATGCGTATGTATGGACTTTGCAAGAGGGAAAATGGAAACCAACATTGGTCATTTTGCGTATCAACCGTGCAGCTACCTGTGTGAAGTGGTCTCCTAAAGGTACAGTGTACACAACATTTTACCATGATCAATAATAGAATATGAAATAGTGAAGCCGGTTCATGATGAGTTTTCACATGGGAAGTTTTATTTCCCAACTGCACATTATGTACGTACAGCAAATTTTCTATGATAAGTTTTTGGTTTTCTGGCCGTTCGTTACGATTGCTATACCCCGATTTTTCAGAGTTCCGGTTCCGGCCGGAACTAATAAAAATGGTCGGAACCGGAACTCTGTCGTTTTCCGAGAGATAGAATATCAAACTTTTTTGTGTGCAACAAAAGTTCAAAGTAGGAAGAAATTTGGACTACGCAAGGCGCGAACTACGTAACACTATTAACACATGACGTTTAACGTTTGTCAATCTTTTTATTCTAACATTTACGAACTCTCTCCTTGATGACGTGAAGTGTCTGCCTGTCTGGCAGCTGACAAAGTAACATATGACTATATATGGTTCAATAAATCAGTTTTGGTCGGATCTGGTTCCGGCCGGAACTTAAAAAAATGGTTCCGGTGCACCCCTAACAGGGTTCGTACGGGTCCTGGAAAACCTGGAAAGTCATGGAATTTCAATATTCCAAAATCCAGGCCTGGAAATCCTGGAAGATCAATTTTAGTCATGGAAAGTCATGGAAAATTGAAATTTTACCTAACATGAACAAAGTATTTTACTTATTTCAATTTACCAGTCATAACAATGGGTCATTCCAGAAAAGATCCATACCCCCCCCTACGGAGGAAATCGAAAATAACCCCCTCCCCCCTTCGGACATCCTTGAATGGTTCATCCTCCCCCCCTCTCCGGACATCAAAGCCCAAAATTACCCCCCTCCCCTTCGGACATCCACTATTTCTAAATTTTTCTAAAGGCTACCTCGCCGTTTGAAAACGTCACCGAAAATTAGACTGCGTTCACACTACGCGCGAGCGAACTAATGCGGGCAGAATTTACATGTGTCCACACTACCGCCATTACAGTTTGTTTACAAATTGAATTAGATATTATTTCAAATAGACCCAGGAAATTTAACTGAAAAGCATTCGAGTTTACACGTTTGTGTTGACACGAAGCTTAATCAAGCGCTCAATTGTTACGGCAAAAGTGACGTGAAAGTTTTCAAACGATTTCGCTCCAGCGTAGAGTGAATTAGCGACGGCTTATTGTGACTTTTCTACGCTGTTTTCAAATAGCTCCGGCGTGGCGGAACACTTGGCGGCTTCTTGTGACTTGCCAACACAAACACGTGGCAGGTTTTGTCGGATAAATATTTGCAGAAATTCACTTCGAAATTCGTTCAAGTAAAATTCGGACTGAAATTCGATGTAACTTGCAACTGATTGACAAGCGTTGCTATGTTTACTTACATGTTAATGTATTTTTTTGTATTACTGCATTCCTTAACCTCGCCGTTGATATGAAAGCCATTTCTATTTTCTAGACACGCACCTCGCAAGGAAGCTTTACTGACTATATACTAAAACAAATTGTTTTGAGTTCAGTTCACATAGCAGTCTCTTAATTCGAGCAACAGTTTAATAACTATTATTTTTAACACTTGAATAATTCAAACTTATATATACGAACGAAAACTGCAAAACTTTACTTTTATATAAATAAAGCGTGTCAATTTTCGACTCATTCTCAACATGCAGGATACGCTGTTACAGCGAGTTAGTTTTTGGTGGCCAAGCATGCAAAAGCGGGCCGCTTATTTTGCTTACGAGTTACGTGGACGTATAATTATTGCTGTTACATAAACGTTCCGTTGTTCAAGAGCTACATATAGCCGATAAAAATTGCGTGCTCATTATGATCGCCGACCACATAGCTTTATCACAGTCTCAAACCTTCAGACAAACATATCCACATTCCTTCCCCCCCCCCGGACATCCTAAGACATTTTTCCTCCCTCCCCCTTCGGACATCCTAAGACATTTTTCCTCCCTCCCCCTTTGGACAGCAAAAATTTCCTCCGTGGGGGGTGGGGGGGGGTATGGATCTTTTCTGGAACGACCCAATAATATGAATTGTTGTTATATAACGGATTTTTGCAAGAGCGAAGTGAATTTTGTACTTTTATTATTTCTGTTATCATTAAAATATTAACAAATTTCAGAAATTCCAGACTTCCAGGTCATGGATTTTGAAAAAAATGGTCATGGGAAGTCATGGAAAAGTCATGGATTTTAAATGGGAAAAGGTGTACGAACCCTGCCCTAATCACATTAATTAAATTAGTGAACTCAATGTTTTGTCTGGCTTTTCAGAGGACAAATTTGCTGTTGGTAGTGGTGCAAGACTGATCTCAGTTTGCTACTTTGAACAGGAAAATGATTGGTGAGTAAAGTATTGTTTGATTGTGCTGATGCATCCTCTCCTATGAATAGGTGACAATGCTTAATGTTAACCCATTAAGTGCCAGCGCTTTCCCCTTGATGACTAAAATTGCATGACCTTAGGGTAAAATAAAGTACTGGGGCCGGTTGTATCAAAGGCGTTTAGCTTAAACGGTGGATAAGTCAAAATTATCAATCAAATCTATGAACTATAGACTACAAGCAAACATAACGTTTCTGTCTAAACATAACAACTATGAATAAAACTACACATTTTGTTGATAAAATTTAAGTTTAGTTATTTACAAGATGAATAGGGATGTTTTTAAATGTTTGCTTATCCACCGTTTAAGCTAAACGCCTTTGATACAACCGGCCCCAGTAGTGCACATTAGGGCGCAATGCAACTTAAATAGACTACCAGAGAGTCTGGTTAATCCATTGAGTGCCAGTTCCACTTTTTTGCACATACTCAAATATAAACTGGTTTGTTCGTTTCTTTTAACAATATCAACCCCTAGTATACAATGTCATGTTTCTTTTCTCCCCGTCCTTTCCCGCTCTTTTTAACTATCCCCCATCGCTCCTGATATCCCGCTTTGTCCAACATTAACACAATATATACATATACTTCATCCCCTATCACAAATAGATAAAATGAATACTGTTCGTAAACAATCGTGTTTACTTGTAAACTGGAATGGTCGTCCGTTTCCGTTGACTTCGTCTAGGCGGTGGTGCTGTATCTCTCTTTTCCAGGCAGTAGCTCTCGTCGTCGTCATCGTGCTCAATTACTTCTGGCCATTGGATGTCGGCGTACTGCATGCACTCCTGTTTCTCTTCGTGGTTGTCCGGTCGACTTTTCGAAGGTTTGAGATCATCCGGGTGGCGACACAGGGTGAGACCGCTTCCTTCTTGTTGTACCGTGACTATGTTCCCCTCCCTGTTCATATCAATGATCTTGAACGCTTCCTGGAGGAAGAGAGTGTCAAACTTTCTTGATTTATTGTAGTTTCTGATCAGGACATTGTCGCCGATTACGAAAATACGAAATGAGATTTCTTCCGGTACTTGGAGCCATTTACTTTACTTTCGTTTTCCATTTTCTTCTTCTGGTCTGCTTCTCGTGCCCTGCCCATCTCTTTGTCTGTTGCGTGTCTTCTAGGAAAGTCCAGGCGTTGTCCATGGCGGAAAATCATAGCTGCCGGTGGAAGATTGGTTGCCGGGTGAGGTGTCTGTCTGTAGTTTTTCAAGACATTTTTTAGGCTTTCTTTTTCGGGAATACCGCTGTGACGCCCAGTTTTCATAGCCTTGCCCAAGGGCCGCATAAAGGTTTCGACTGGGTTCGAGGAGGGATGTAGTGGTGGTGATTTCTGTAACTTGATGTCTTTGGTCTTGGCGAAGTTTTGCATCTGAATGCTGTTGAATGGTGGACCATTGTCTAAGATCTGTACATCTGGGTTGCCGTATGTTTCGTAAATTTCTGTCAAGGCTGGTATGACTTTGTCTGCCTTTGTTGATGTGACTAACTTTGCTGCAGGGTATCTTGACGCTAGGTCTTGTACTACCACCACATGTTTAGATGATGTGGCATTGGTCCGAATAAATCCACTGCAACTGTTTCCCAACACTTCTGTGGTACTCGGTGTGGTTTGATCGGCTCCTTCGTCTTCTTATCCACAAATACCTTGCAGTCACTGCATGACTTTACAAACTCTTCCACCTTCTTATCCATGCCGTGGAAGAAGAAATTATATCTAAGCCGTCGCTTCAACCCCTCCTGTCCGGGATGGGCTCCCTTGTGTGCAATCTGGATAGCTTTTTCTTGGAGCTTAGTCGGAAGGATGATCCTTTCATCTTTGAGGATTATGCCATTTCCTGTAACTGTGAGTTGTGGAAGGATGGGTCGAAAACGTTGAACTTCGGCAGGTTCTGTCTTTGGGATCCAAGTCTGTCCCTTCTTGATGAGTGCCGCTATCTTTTGCAGAGTCTGGTCTTCACTTGTGGCTTGTGCAATAGCACCAATACCCACGCAGTCGATGGCTGGTGTTGTATGAAGTAGGTACAGGAGATTATTGAGGTCATCCGCTTCAGTTTGTTCCTCCCGAGGTAGTTTCTCGATTGGTTTCGCGTGTCGGGATAGGTAGTCGGATTGGTTAACTTTCCCACACTGGTAGATTACCGTAAATCTGATGTCTTGATGGCGGAGCTTTATTCTTTCTGTACGAATCGAGCCTTTACGGTTGCCGTTGAAGATAGAGCATAATGGTTTATGATCAGTTATAACCTGGATATCGGTTGGGGAACCAAGGATATAGTTGCGAAATCGTCGTAGAGCAAAATCAATACCAAGGGCCTCAAGGTCGATTTGTGGATACTTCTGCTCGGCCTTGTTTGTTGTTCTAGAAGCTATAGCAATTGGTCTTGCGCTCTCTGGTGTATCTCCTTGTGCCAGCATGGCCCCAAGTCCAGTAGTGTGTGCATCGGTGAAAATGAAAGTTGGCTTGCTCATGTCGAAATACTCGAGTAGGGTATTTACTGTGAATCGTTCGATTAATGCTTCGTAAGCGGCATGGTGTTCTTTCGTCCATGTGAATCGACTATTTTTCTTGGTCAGTTGTCTCAGTTTGGCCGCGTGTTGTGCGAAGTTTGGAATGAAATCGGCATTGGACTGCATCATACAGAGAAAACTGATCAATTCTTCCTTTGATCGAGGCGGTGTGATGTGCTTTAGTGCTTCCACTTTGGCGGGATCTGGTCATACTCCTGCGGAACCAATACGCAAACCCCAGAATTCGATCTCAGGGGCTCCGAAAGTGCACTTGCTTGGATTAAGGGTTATGCCAGCGTTAGTGATGGCTTGCATGACGGCAGTAATCGCGGAATGGTGTTCTGCATCGGTTTCTGTTGCAACAATAAGGTCATCATGGATGAGGTGTGCTTGTGGAATATGTGCGAAAAGCGGTTGAAGAGCCATGTTAAGTTCTTCTTGTGCTGGCTTTACGCCCATGGTGAGTCGCTTATATCGGTATAGTTTATCGTTTGCGTGGAACGCTGTAAGGTACCGGGAATCTGGGTGGAGTTCAAGTTGCCAAAAGGCCGATTTAAAGTCCATCTTCGAGAACACCTTCGCTCCGCTAAGTTTAGCTTTAATGTTTTCTTGCCTTGGGATGGGCAGGTTGGAAGCTTGGATCGCTTTATTGACATTGCGAGCGTCAAGGGTCATACGAATGGCGCCGTCCGATTTGGGTGCAATAACTGCGTTTGACACCCAAGGTGCTGGTTCTGTTGGTGGATGTTCTTCAATGACATCTTGGGCTACCATCTTGTCAATCTCTGTTCTGATACGTTCCTTCAAGTGATATGGCACTGGTCGAGCTGGGGAGGCAACGGGTTTAACACTGGGGTGGACATGCAGTTTAACTTGGTGGTTTTTCAACTTTCCAAGCCCTTCAAAATTCTGCGGATATTTCTTTAAGATGTCTTGAAGCGCTTCCTTTTTGCTACACTGGATCATCTGTACTGGTTGGTAAACTTCGGCCTGAGGGTCAAACTGGATTATCCCCAGTTGTACTGCACTTTGTCCTGCAAGTACAGGTTCACATGGTGTATCAATTATGTGCCAATCAACTGGAATGGATGTGGAGCCAAATGTGACAGCGCATTTGGCAATTCCAATAACTGGTATTGTCGGGCTGTTATATGGCTTGACCTTGGTCGTGGTTGGGACCATTCTGGACAGGAGGTTCCATTTTTGCGCTTGCTCTCTTCCACAGACGCTGATACTTGTACCTGTGTCAGCCAACACGTTTGCAAGGCTATTGTTGATGATGACTTGTGCGTTGAAATCTCTGGTTTTCATGCGTCTCTTATGAGGTTGTTGGTGCTGAGGTGTTTCGGTTATTCTGAAGATGTTGATGCTGTAGACGCCGCTGTGGTCATGATCTTCGATTTGATGTTCTTGTTGTTCGCTGTCGTTTTTCAGTTAATTGATTGCTTTCTTCTTCCTACATACAGTTTCATAGTGGCCAATTGCATCACAGAAGTTACATTTGCTGGTTCGTGCTCTGCAGGATTTGAGGTGAGCAATAACGGATGTCTTGATGTCTTGTCTGCAGTAGTAACATGACCGGGGCTTTCCAGCCTCAGGTTTTTTCTTCATGTTTTTAAAGGAGTATTTACCCATTTTGTTGACAGGATTTTCATTGTTGAGCTCTTCCAGTCCTTTGGTGGCACTTTCAATTCGCATTCCTTCCTTGCGTAATTGTTGGAGGTCCCATGAATTCTTGAGGGCTTCCTCTCTGATCTTGTCATGTGTAGTGCCAATAATAATCTGGTCATGTATGGCTGTATCTTCGGCAGTGCAATCGTCATTGTGACATTTGAAATTGCAGTGTTGAGCTGCTTTATATACGCGATTGCAAAATGTCGGAAATGACTCATGGGCGTCCTGTGCCAAAGACCGGAACTGGTGGTTTTTAAGTGTAAGATTTTCTGTTGGTTTGGTTTGTAGTGCTGTTGCATTGTTGTCACGAAATATTTCCACGTCACCTTAGCTCTTTTGGAATCATCCGGTTCTGCGACTTTCCAGTCAGCAAACAATCGTTTCGATGAGAATATACCGATGAGTTTTGTCACGCGATCTTTTGATCGCCATTCGTCGCGAATGTTGTCATAGTCATCAAGCGTTGGCTTTTTATCGTCGTTTGCGAGTTTCCATCGTTCAATAGCCGCATCTAGAGATGTTTTAGAAGGATCAGGATATTGTGCATCATATCGGAGCTCGAAGCTCTGGATAAATTCGTCAAAAGCACGTAAAGTGTCGTCTGGATGAAGATCAGGGTCAAAATATAGTGTTGATGTGCTCGCCATGGCCGCCATAGTGGTCGGTATTTCAGCTTTTGGTGCTTTGTAGTTGTATATATCTGATTGTGACGTAGTCAATGTCAGGATAAGTGATTTTTTTAATCCTCGTCGCCAAATATAAACTGGTTTGTTCGTTTCTTTTAACAATATCAACCCCTAGTATACAATGTCATGTTTCTTTTCTCCCCGTCCTTTCCCGCTCTTTTTAACTATCCCCCATCGCTCCTGATGTCCCGCTTTGTCCAACATTAACACAACATATACATATACATGATTAGTGTGGCGTTCTAATATTCTGTCTAGAAAACACCCATTTACTATTTACAGTATAGTTCTATCGAACGAGATGTCTCAAACTCTCTGTATTATTTTTGCAATTTTATTCTGCAGGTGGGTTAGTAAACACATCAAGAAGCCATTGAGATCAACTGTTACCAGGTACTAATTAAGTAGATTTTACACATTAAATGAAATGTCCAATTCCTATTAGGTACTGTACATGAAATTTGACTACAGTATAACCTGACTGGATTTTGCACCTCCCTAAAAAAGTCGTGCACCTCCCTAAAAAAAGTCATGCACCCTTGGGAAAGGTCATTTAGCCTTTCTCACGAATGCCAAAATTTCCCATTTTTAATTGGGGGTACTGTCTGCCCTCGTGAAAGATTCCAGACAATTCAAACAACGTGAAAAGCGACTTTTAAAAGTTGTAACTGTAAATTTACCATTATACAAACAACTGCAATTATACTAAAGTTTTAAGTGCAGTATTTCGTGGTGCGGAGACTCTGAACGTGGGAGAGGCAGTACCCTAAAAATGGCAGGAAAATCGGCCATGAGAAAGGCTAATTGATACTGTAAATCAAGTGAAAATTTGACTCAAACTTGACAGTTAATTTTCATGTTTATTGAATTTGTATGTGTTGCTTAGGGTGTACACTTGAAAAAGTGATAGCCATTCATCTCCGTGTCAAGTACTCTTTAATGCAATGTTTTGAAGGAAATCTTGTGCTAATGTAATGAAGGGAAAAATTTGATGACTCGTACAGTAATAATTCATAAATACATTGATATATTTGTACAATACGTAATTCATGTAGACTAGAAATCCAGCTATGACTATAACTACAGTATAGATAGAAAACTGTAACACCATCTTTGCTGCTTAGAAGGTAATTACTGTAAGTGATT